TCCCCCCCCCCCCCCCCCATCAATGCTTTTCCTGTGGGTTTTTCCTGGGGGGAATTTGCCCCATGGTGGGGAAAGAAAAAGTAATTCACATCTTAGGTTAAAAAAACCACAAAAATACAATACAGTGGTTGTGCTGGGCTCCAGGACAACGGTTTGAAGGGCACAAAGCTGGTTCAAAGTGGAGAGGCAGATGGCAGTCATGGCATCCTCTCCTGCCTTTCCTTCTCACTGCTTTGGCAGAACCACACTACCACACCATCCTGAGCAAGCGCAGGAGTAAACCCCGTCATTCCTCTGTCTGTCGGCACTGCTGAGCACAGGAGAGGACAGCAAGGACAAGACAGTGACAAAGCCTGGGAGAGACACAGACTTGGTGTGGACCTTCCCCACCCTTTCTGCTGTCCAGAAAGGTCAAAACCACCTGGTATCTGATTCTTCCAAATTCCTCAGGAAGGCTGCTGAGGAGCCCAAAACCTTGAGTTTCTCAAAGTGCTTGGTAACATCCCCTTGTCAAGGGAACTGGTCACCTGGGGCTCGGTCACAAGGAGAGAGAGGATGTAGAGCACGAGAGAGAAGGAAGGAGAAAGGAGCAGAGGGGCTCAGGCAGGCAGAGATGATGCAGGGGACCGGACAGCAACCTGACAAGGGTGGTCCCCCCACACAGACCACGCTGCATCGAGAAAGAGCAATTCAGTGCCATGGTACCTGTAAGGGCAGCGGGTCCATCAGCAAGAAGCTGCCAGGACCAGGCATGCCAGCAAGCAGGGTGCCCTTCCTCAGACTGCAAGAGTCTGACAAACGACCCTGCTGGCACGGCTGCATCTCCCTGAAAGACTTCTCATGGAAAGAAAAAAAAAACAAAAAAAAAAACAAAAAAAAACCCACAAAAACACAAAACACTTTAATCCTAGGCTGCCTGAAAGCTCTGCTAGGGCACCTCGTTTCAGGCACTGGAAGACAAAATCCTCAGAATCAGGAAGCATGGAGCACCACTTGCAGGTGTGCATGGCCAGAAGAGCTTGTAATTACCGGTGGCTTTTCAAAACATGGCTCCTAGTTTACAATGGGGCTTCCAAACAGGCTGCCCAGGACCAATGCTGTGCCCACATCTGCCCGGCACCACCCCTCGCTCCATCCGTGTGACCTGGTGCACCCCTCAGGTCCTGCAGCCCTCACACCTCACCTTGAGCTGGACCTCGCAGGCACAGAGCGGCTGCCCAGCCCCAAAAGATGCCGATGGGAAGCCAGAGCCCTGCTTGGAGGAGGGAGGCACTCGTGCACCCACCTTTGCAGGGAGAGCTGCTGAACACCTCAAAACTGAACCTGGTGAGGAACGAGATGCTACAGGGTGGCACTCGCTGGGGCAAGACAAAGCACCCACATGCTGGGGAAGGGATAGTTTAGAGGCGTCCCTAAGAAAGTTGCTCTCATGTCCAAAAAGGCTATTTCCATACTGGCATTCAGGCAGCATGACATGGTCCATCCAGTGGGTGCTGGGACCTGCACTGGACCCCAACAGGAGTCCGGAGTGTTGTGCTGGACCTGCCCCACCACATCTCTGAGGAGCTACCCCAGCCTGCATGAACCACTTGTCCAGCTCCCCCTCCCAGGAAAATCTGGGCTCTGGGGAGACTCTTGGGGGCTGTTTGGGGAAGTCACCATCCCCTGGCAGCTGGCTGAATCCTAAGTGTGCTGATGCTTGTGCACAGAGAGCAGCCTCCTCATCCTCTCCAGCCCCGGAGAACACGGATTCATGCAAGCCCTGCGCAGGACAAGGAGCAAGTTGGGAGGACAGCAACCACAGACCAGCCCCCGGGGAGCTTTCGGGGCTGCTGGCCAGCAGAGTTTGTGACTCCAGGTGTGTTCCTGCTGCTTCCAGCTGTTTCGGAGCTGCAGCCATCCAAGTCTCCAATGGGCAACCTCCAGAAGAAGCGCTCTGACCCAAAACATTGGCTGGGTTTGCCTGGACTAGGACATGGGGCCACTGAGTCACTCCTGTGCTTGAGTGCAACGGAGGTGGGCAGCTTGAGCCCACCTGATCATCAGGAAGAGCATTATCGACCAGAGCAGAGGTAGTAACTTCTGCTTGAAGCACTTGTCTGGGGTTTTCCAGCTTGCTGGTGGAGCCCGGGACATCCAGAACAGTTCCTCCCACCAGCCTGGCTGGTTTAAATGGGACTTGCTGTCCTGCTTGAGCAGAGCTGACCTTGGATGTAACAGAGACTAGAGAGACCACAGCATCTTGGCCTTGTGCACCAGGTTCCCAAGGCTCTGGTGGGGCTTGTAACGCTGATTTAGTTGCCCAGCAGTGCTGGAAATGAGCCGCAGCACTGTTTTCTTCATTGCAGGGTGATGTACTGCAGCACAGGAAGTCCGTGCTCTCCCCAGCATCCTCCCTGAGGAGCATCTGCTCCACACAGGAGGTCACCTCGGTGCCCAGCCTCCTGCCAACCTCCTGAGCTGGCAGCTCCTCTGCACCCAAGTTGAGCAGAGCCTCCTCCCACCGCTGCAGCTCCGCATTGTCCACACTGAAGTTCTGGAGGGTCTGGCAGATGTTTCCATCCACCTCGCTCTTCTCAAAGAGGGTTTCGATTATGACCAGGAGAGAGTCGCTGTCCCTCTTGGCATCGCCGACTTCCTCATTCTGGTTCAGTTCATCAAGCTCAGCAATGAGATCTGGCAAGAACTGAGGCACGTTATCAGCGTGGGAGGTGTATATCGATGCGTTCTGTTTCATCATGGCCCCAAGAAGAGAGTTAGGGTCTACCAAATGCTGCTTTGAGCAGGAATTTGCTTGTGATTCCAACTCCTCCTTAGCCTGGAAGGAGTCCAGGAACTCAGGGAGGTCATTCCCGTACAAGATTGCTTCCCCTGTGACAAAGCTAAAAGGCAGCTGCAGGCTCCTCTTCCGCAGGTGTTCCTCTCCTTCTTCATTCCTTCAGGGTGGAGGGAAAAAGAGATTGAAACACCATGAGCACCTCCTGCAGGCCAGGCAAAACCACCCTCCCGACAGTGAGAAGGGAGATCATTGCCCTGCTGTGGCTTTTCTAAAGAAAAGGGTGCTGGACTGGGCTGGCTACAACGCTGCTCGTGGAGGACGGGGTCTCTGCAGAGCCCATGGCGGGGGTCTGCATGGCTCAGGGAACGGCCGTGTGTCCAGGGCTCACCGCAGGCAGGAGCAAGCATGTCTGCAATCACCTTCTCAGGGCTATTTTGCTCATGCTACCCTTGCTACAGGAGGGCACATGCTCCAAAGTGCTAACTGTGCAACACAACGACCCCTTCCTCCACTCTCACTGCCTCCGTGTGGACCCGAGCAGCCCCACGGCCACCCACGCCCAGAGCAGGTGAAGGCAGCTGGAGACCCAGCGATACTCACGACAGGGCTCGCAGCCGGGCAATGATGCAGTCGGGTTTGCCCCCTTTGTACACCAGATGGGCGTTGGACTGCACCCACAGCCAGCCATAGTTCTTGGTCAGCATCCGGAAAACCGTCAGCCCGGTCTCCCCTGTCTCCATCATTGGGGCAGGGAGAGAAGAGAGGTGGCACGGACACGGTTATCCCGTGGGGGCAGACAAATGGCACATGCAAAATGCCACAATGTCGAGCATCACCTTGTGCCCATTCTATGGGGGCAGAAGAGGGAGGATGCAGCCAGCACACGATGCCACGTGCTGTGCTGTTCCCCTGCCCGCTCCTTCCCCAAGCAGGTATCACCCAGGAGGGGAGAGCCTTTAGTACAGCCGCTCCAGACCTGGACAGATGGCCCAGCAAGGACCAATGGTCCCGACACATCCAGAGCTGCTGGAGAGCCATGAAGGCTCCCCACAAACACACCCGCTCTGATAGCCCCCCCAGCCAGCGCTGCTGCTCCCCCCGGCACTCACTTCTCACGTGGTTCTCAGCACAGTGCATCACGTCAGCCACGTGCACAAACTGGTACCCAGACCCCGTCCTGAACAGATCCGTTTCTGTGTACCCCAGCACAACCTTCCCCCTGGAAACAGGGCAGAAACCAAATGACACCAGGGATGGATCACCCAGATGGACCCCAGCAGCCAGATGTGACCCCCTTCCCAGCACCCAGGCAGCTCACCAGAGCCTCCAGCTTCGGATGGTACAACTTGGGCTGAGCTGCATCCCCCCCCTCTTCCACAAAACCCCATGCTGGGTTTGCTGGGATAAAACATGGGAGCCAGGAAGTACTGGCACCCAGTTCATCTGCTCCCTGGGTTACTGGAGGCTGCAGAAATGGCTGGCAGGTGACGGACAAAAGCAGCAGACAACTTGCCACCAGGAGCTGGCTCAGAAGTGCCCTGCTCCCACAACCTCTGCTGTTCTGTTCGGCACCACAAGATTTTGCCACGGGGAAGGTGCGAGATGTCCTACCAGGAATCACAGGCTGTGAGAGTGAAGTCCAGCTTGTGCTTTGTCTGGAAGATCAGCATCTTGGTCTGAAGATCCAGGATGAAGAGTGGCTGGAGGGGAGTTGCAATGGCGAAGAAAGCAAGAGGGGACCTGTCCGATGTCCTCTTCTGTTGCCCAAGAAGGAATTTCAAGTGCCCGTGGAAATTCAAGGCCTTAGAGGGATCAGAAAACGTGGGTGAGAAGCAAACAGGGTGATGGGAACTGGCTGTGCTCTCACCCCTAAGGGACACGAGCTGGAACATGCTGGGGGTAGAGGGGCGTCCCGGCACAGGGCTGCGTTACCAGAAATCCCGAGGAGTTGTCCAGCAGGCAGCGGAAGCGGCAGGTGAAGCTCCTCTCTGTGAAGGAGGGTTTCCCGGGGCTGGACCTGGCGCTGCATCCAGCCGGCAGTGGCTGGTCGGTGGGAAGGACTAGGAAATCAAAGGGAAAAGGAAGCTTTCCAGGCTGTGCAAGGCTCATGGCCTTGCAGACTTGCTCCTGGTGGAGACTTCGCTGTTCAAGTGAGCCCATGGATCTTCACAAAAGAGGTATGACCTTGCCGTGGGAAATTACCAATTCATGGTTGTTTCTGGTCCCCACAAGCTCAGCTTGCCTCCCACACAGGAGCAAGGCAATGAGCTGTCCCTACTGAAATAAAGAGGATTTCAAACACTGAAAAGCCAAAAAGGTTTGGGGGAAGTGTCCCCATCCCTCCAGCACAGCAAAGGACAGCACGCCATTGCTGTTGGCTGCTTTTGGTCATGGGTGGCCACTACCCCTAGGATAGTTGCGAGTCCCAGGGGGAAGCTATGGGATACTTCTCAGCACAGGGCTGTGCTTGGTGGCTAGAAATGCCACCAGGAGAGTTTTCCAGCACAGGGTGACCATGCAGAGGAGGCTGGCTGGTCCCCGAGGATCGCTGCTAGGGACCACCCTGGCACTCACCACCAGCAGCGCGCTGGGTGCTGCTGGACGCTGGGTCCCTGTGCAGCTGGCACCAGAAGGCAGCTCTGTCATCTGCGTGGATCAGCTCATACACGCTCTGGTAGATGAGATCCGACTGGAACGACACAAGGGGAGAAGAGCGTTGACTCCTGCCCAGCCTGGAGAGGCGTCTGGAGGAGGACACAGCAGGATGCTTTCCTTCATGGGGACTAAAAGTGATCGTGCTAAAGTGAAAGTACTTAAAAGAGTGAGCGTAAAGAGACAGGTAAACACAGCCAGCTTTGTGTGCTATGTGGAGAGCAAGGACCAGGAACCGGCTGCTTTTTTAGGGAGCATGGCACAGGAAGGAGGAAAAGGGAGCCAAGAGGCAGTCTGCCTGGGGAAATGGTGGCAATAGCTCCAAGGTTTCTAGAAGCAATAGAAATGGCCATGTCCAAGTAACTCCAGTTGCTCAGGTCTGTCAACACCACCCATCTCCCCAGTGTCTCCTGGCCACAGCTAAGCAGAGCTTTCCAGCCTGTTCCCCACACCAGCAAGGCTGAGGTTCTCCTGGTGTCACCCAGCCCTTCCACCAGGAAAGGCACACATACTGATGCTGGGCTGTTGGGCTGGCCACACAGGAGAAAGACCAGCATGTCCTCACACCTCCTGCCTCCCAATTCAGCCCCCTCCTTCTAGGGGGCCTGAACCAGCCTTTCCCATCCCAGTCCTTCATGCTGTGGTAGTCAGCGTGGTCCTGCCGAGTCCATAGGCAGCTCAGGCCAACAACTGCCATGTCCCTGCCCTTGGAAACATGCCAGAGCACAGCCTCCCGCTCAACCAGACATAGAGGTACTTTGAGAAGACCACTCTGTGCCTGACAGCTGTTTTGACTTGGGGCATCAGCCCGTGAGGATCCTTCTACAGTGAGCTGGGAAAGGGTGCAAAGAGAGGACAAAGAAGAAAACACACCAGTCTCTGTGGGTGTACCAGGAAGCCATGGAACGAAGTGGCTTTGGCAGCCTCATGGCCCTCCTGTTGACTCAGTCCTTTGGCCAAAGGAGCTGGACATTAGGGGAACCAGAGGCGACAGGGTGGATGTTGAGGGTGGTGAGGCAGTGGCCCAGGTTGCCCAGAGAAGCTGTGGATGCCCCATCCCTGGAGGGGTTCAAGGCCAGGCTGGATGAGGCTTTGAGCAACCTGGGCTAGTGGGAGGTGTCCCTGCCCATGGCAGGGGGCTTGGAACACTTGTTGGCTTTCACAGCCCCCAAAGAACATGACTCATTTGAAAATGTCCACCAAAAATGATCCAAGGGAGCTGAGAAGGGAGAAGAAAAGAAAGCCCTGGCATGGCTATCAGCACCTCCTTCCCAGGCCTGGACTGCATCCATCTGCTTACAGTCAGGAAGAGAAGTGGTACCCACCTGATGAAAGCCCAGGTAGTCCTGCACAGTATGGGAGACATAGAAGATGTGGCCATCTCCAGTCACAGCGATGACAAACCCATTAAGTGCCTGAAAGCATAAGTTGAGTCCAGAGTTAGTCTCCCTAGCTCCAATCCAGCTGCTCAAAGATGAACTTCTCCAGGTTCTTTTTCTTAAGCATTCGGGGACAGGAAGGGACCTTCTCTGACAACAAGGAACTCCATAGAAAAGGAAAGCACCTTGTGACCATGCAAGACTTTTTATCCTGGTTAGTTGTGGGATTTTTTTCAGTGTTAGCATGGGCAATGATCCAAGATGGACTGACCACTTTCGGAGATTTTGTCTCCTCTTGCCTGAGTTCTAGATGATAGAAGATAAGACTTTAAACACAAAAAACCCCCTCATCTCTATAAAAAAAAAAACAAAAACCAATCTTTGTGCTCATACCATCTGCCAACTTCACTTCTTGCCTTGCACTCTGCAATTACATACGCATGGCCTGCAGTTAAATACATACCCAGCTGGTATCTCTTTGCTTGAAAAAAACAAACCCACACTGAATTAGAGAAACTATTCCAAAATCCTGGGAAAGCATGGCTGGGGTGCAGGGAGGGGACCTCATGCATCAAGGGAATATCCAGAAAAAGAAGCAAGATGAAGATCCAGAGATATCTGGTGACCATTTCAGGCTGATTTTCTCCAAAATGAAAGTACTGCACTGGATAGTAATTCTTGTCCCCTACTCTTGCCTGTAAAATATTTAATTTATTACTGAAAATGAGACAAATTAGGAAAAGAAAGCCCTAAGTGGAAGTCTGCATTTAATCAGGATGCGGGCAGAAGCCTGAGCACATCTCAAACATCAGGCCAGGACCTGCCACGACAATTATGGACTCTGCCCTCATTGCCCAGCTCAGCCGCACTGAGATGCTTCTGGACAGGAGCATGGGGACATACTGTTTGCTTTGAAACCAGGCTGGAGAGAAGGGTCCAGCCGTCCATGCTGCTCCTCCAGCTCTGCTCACCCTCTTGCTCCCTGCAAAAAGGAGGCAGGAGCCATTGAATGATACAGCTCATGCATTTGCCCATTTACAGCAACACTCCAGCTCGCCTGGGATGGCTTTTTTTAGCCACTTGGATTATTTGAGAAGCTGCTGGATTGAGCACACTGCTTGACAGCATACAGATCCAGCTTGCAGCAGGACCGGTCCCTTTCCTTTGTGCTCTGCAGCCCCATGAGGGGCGCTGAGTCAGAGTTTTCTGCAAATTACAGTATCTGATTAAAATGCTCTTTGAGAGGGGGAAAAAACATCAGGCAGCTCAGCTGGGGGATTTCTGTCACATTAACACCTCATAAGCTCTCCAGATGCCTTCAGTCACGCAGGGCTGACAGTGCTCTGGTGGCTCAACACATTGCCATCACCTGGTACAGCTCAAACCCCCAGAGCAGCTCCATCAAGAGGAAACAGCCTCAAGTTGCACCAGGGGAGGTTTAGGCTGGATATTAGAAAAAATTTCTTCACTGAAAGAGTGATCAGGCATTGGAACAGGCTGCCCAGGGAAGTGGGGGAGTCACCATCCCTGGAGGGGTTCAAGAAACGTGTAGATGTGGTGCTTAGGGAGTTCCTGCTGGGGCTCTGCTCACAGGGGAGCTCACACCTGCCTGCCTGTCCGAAACGGTGGGCATTCATGTGAGGCCATGCAGGAGCAGAACTGGAGGCACCAGAGTCAGACCTCAAGCAGAGCCAAGCATCCATCTGCTTTTGTTTGGAGAGGTGGAAGAAAGGAGAAGAGGACCCGAGGCCCAGAAAGCACAGACATATGCGATATCAGGATACAGCACAGACTTGCCCTGCAGCCCCAGGAGCAGCACGTTTTCAGTTGAGATGCCCAGATACTTATTTAGCAACCAGCCTTTCCACAGGCCCTTCCTATCCCATTTCCTTCCAGCTTACATTTGCAAACTGCAGCCCAAGCCAACATCATTCTGGCCAGCTGATTCACCAGCTCCTTGTACTCTGAAGGTCAGTGAGAGCTATTTCATTAGACACACACTGGCGTTTGCACAAAGCAAAGCTCCCACCACGCACTGAGTTTTTCCACCACTGTCTCCCAGATCCGTGTTCCCTTCTTTTCTCCCCCCTCAACCTTCAGAACCAGGGCTTTTTCCATCTCAGGTGGGCAGTGAACTCATGCTAGGGACCTCATGCAACACCCCAGGTAGGGCAAATCGTTCCTAGCAGATGTTTCATCCTGCAGCTATCACCATTCTCCTCTCGGCATTTATTAGGACACAGGAACCCACCATCTCAGAGACTACATAACCAGGGATCATTCTGTACACTGTTGTGTGATACCCCTGTGCCCTTCTGGATGGGATTTACAAATTTGTGCACGTTGGATCCATGGGCCGTAGCGGGTCCTGAGGAAAAATGCTGGGTTTGGGCTCAGTGACAGCTAATGCCTGCAAGCTACAGGCGCAGACAGCACCCACCACCTCTGCGAGAAGGACGTAACCCACCACCCTGAGCCTTGCTCTGTTCACAGATATGGTTTTATGGCACGGCCCATACAGAGTTGCTGCTGCTGGTCCCTGTCCCAAGGTACTCGGTGCCTGCAGAATTCAGAGAGAAGCAGCTCCTGGCAAAGCAGAGTCTCCTCTTGCTCCAGAGATGGGACCACATGCCCCATACCTGCTGTATGGGGACCAGCCATTGTGCCCAGCGGAGGGCAGGAGCCAAGGGACGATCCCAAATGACTGAGCTGTGGGAAAATACCTGGAGCAGCAATTCCCCCTCAGGAAACAGCTCCCTGTTGACCTGTGGGTCCACCCATCCATTCCCTCCTGGGGCTCTGGGATGATCCAGCACGTAATCACCAACATTCGGAGCTATGTCTGCAAGTGAGAGAGCAAGAAATCAGCATGGAAGGGGCAAACTGGGAGCCTCTCCCTCCTCCTCCCCGCCCCAGTGCTGCTCCTGCATGGCTGCACCATGCTACCCAATGCACATCGACCCAGCTTGGAGGGAGATGAGACCAGCGGGAACTGGAGCAGAGTTTTATAGAGCCATGCCCGGCTTGCCCAATGCTTCCTCCAAGAGATTATTTCCCTTGCTTGGTCCCATTTGTGGGAAACCTGGTTTCTGTCGAGGTCTGAGGCAGAGACGCAAAGGATAGAGGCGAGATGAGTGCTTCTGGGCTGCCCAGGCTAGGAAACACCACCCAGAACAGTGAGAAGTCTTCATGATAGGACCCGGCAAGAGCCCGAGTCGGCTTCAAGCCACCCCAGTGTGACAAGGTCTGCTTTCCTGCCCTTGAGGGCTGACAAAATATGGTGGCAAACCTTCCCAAGCCATCTGAGATGCTGTCAAGTCATCCGTATTTTTTTCTCCCATCCTCTTTGGCTGCTCAGGAGCAGATCAGAGGGCTAGTGGCCATGGCACTCCCAGTGAGACACTCCTGAGCAGCTCTCAGCTCCCAGGACTCGCTGCCGTGACCTCCCCAGGCTGATTCATATGCTGCCTCATGCTTCCTCACTAGATGCCTTCAAGACAACACCCATGGGTGCAGCCGATGTGAAACCTCCTGCCCTGGTCACACCACCTCCAGCATCAAGGATGGTACTTCATCTGAAAAACTCCATCTAAACTCAGCTTCCCACAAAAGGACAATTTCAAGGCATGTTTCTGTACCAACTCGACCAAAAACCCCCAGGAAAACCTCAAAGAAGCCCCCATGTAGGAACCACCCTGCCTCTGCCATCACCACGAGCTCCTGCTGCACCCAGAGTTCAGCCAGAGCTCACATGCTCTGTGCACAGCCACATCCCGGCAGAGCATCACTGCCTGCTCCGTCAGAGCCCTGGCTTCTGATGGCACTGTATGACTGTGGCTGGATCCAAAGAGAAAAGGTCTTCTGAATTTGAGGGAACGGTAGAAAATGAGGAAAAACCCCAAATCATCCCAAATCTGATCCCACATTTAATGTTCTCCATGGTAGAAGTTCTCACCTCACTACTGAAAAGTCTTAAAGGTTTGGTTTTTTTTCCACAGTAGCACCAAGTTCAAAGCCAAAATCATTCCAAACCTAAAATAGTTCCATCTGAAACTGCTGATACGAGACATTTTGCTTCTCGTGAAACCATCGCTATGCAAAAGCATTTTCCCTGACAGACCTGCATCTTTGGATTAATAACCAGTCTGAGGACAAAACATCACTCAGATCTATTTATGTGCGGAGCCAGAGTGACAACAAGCACCCACTCATGCAGGCTTTCAGCAACCAGGCGCATGGTTAAAGAAAATTAGCTGAAGGTCTTGCATAAGGTGACACAGAGGAGCCACACGGGTTCAAACAAAAGTGGAGAAGATGCTCTGAGCCCATTAAGCAGAATTAGCTCCGATCTTTATCACTGATAGAACCAGGCTTCTTCAGCCTCCCGCAAACCTTGAGAGATGCTCCTTTCTCCAGGAGACGACCCTCTGCATGGACACTGCCCAAATCAGCCAGAGGTGGATCAGCCGGGCCAGGGGACGCAAGACTTCTGGGGAAAGGTTGGGAACGACGAGGTTCAACGCCAGGAAAGTGGTCCACCATGCTACTCCTAGGAGAGCAGGGAGACCAATCCTGCCAACTCTTGTACTGCAGAAGAGCTTGGCTAAAATTTGCTGAGATTTTAGCAACCGATCTCAAAGTCCAGTCCCACCCAATCCCAGGGGAAGAGGTGGTTCAGTAGCTGACAGTCATGGCCAATCTAGATGACTTCCCTGAATACTTGACTTTAAACTTGCATGCCAAATTTCCTTTTTTTTTTTTTTTTTTTTAAATTTGCACAGGGAAGACTGTGATACCAGGCAGAAGAGAGCTGTACAACATCTGCAGTGCTTGCACCAGGGGTCAGACAAGTTACAGCAGACGTGTGTGTGCCCCAAACGAGCCCATGGAGGCACAGAGGAGCTTCGAAAGCTTTCTTCTCAATGCCTGAAGCTTGTCCTTTCCAGCAAGCTACAAGTTTTTCTGGTTTCTCACTAAAGCACAGACAGAAGAAAGAGAACATTTAAAAGCAAAGAAGATTTAAAAGATGATCCAGTGAGTGATTACCCTGCAATGGCATCTCCTGGTTTCCAAACAGCCTTGTGCTCCAGAACCAAGTTCAAGTCCCAAAAGCACTCGGTCTTTCAACTTTCCAAAATCAAATCCTCATGAGCTTCCAGCTGCAATCCTGCTGCTCACTTATCCATCCACAAAGCCCAAGCACAAATCATCACGACCATGGTCCTCTCCAGGCAGGAGAGGGGAGGATGCAGAAGCTCCCGCGTACCTGCTGCTGACCCACAGCTCTCATGGCCAGCCCTCACTGTGGCCTCACCCTTGCTGTGCCCACCAACCAGCTCTTCCTCACACCCAGAGGAAGGTGATGGTGAGCTAAAAGCAGCATTATGAAGAAGTAAGACAGGGATATCCAGGAGAGGATATTCGAGTTTCACACCAGGCAAGCACAAGAAAGCCCGAGCTTTAGGAGCCAATTCCCCAGAGAGCTTGGCCATCCATTTCTTTTCTGTTTTGGGTTTGCTGATCAGGAAGAGGCAAATGCCAGCAGGAAAGGTGACCTCGGCCAACACACCCCACTCCTGTAAGCAGCCAGGCTAGTTGCAGACAACACAAGGAAGCTCAGTCCCATGGCTGGAGGGAGGACAGGAAAAGCAACGCAAGAAAACGAGGAGCCTCAGAACATCACCCAGAGCCCACTTGCAATTTCCTTTCTGAGTTCGGACACGATTTAGAGGCCACAACACAACCAGCCCAGACTGTAGTTTCCTGAAGGACACCAGATTCAGTTGCATAATGCTGCAAAACTCACCTCAGGGTCACCAAACTTCTAACGTGAACCCTGTTTGCTTTGTCCCTCTGATAAAGCAAGACTTTACAGAAATCCCTATGCAAACATTTGCAGGAAGCACAAAAATCTGTGCAAAGCCAGCTTTCAATCCAACACGCAAAATAACAGCTGGCCTTGTTCCCGCAAAGTGAGAGCCATGCTCAGTCCGAGTCGGAAACTGATGGACACGCCAGGAATCGGTCATTTTTTCCGTGAAGAGTAGTCAACCCCAAAACCAGCACAAGATCAGGAAAGCTGTAGAGCTTGTCAGAAAACACTAACCATTCTTACTGAGCTTTCAGCCCGTCCACAGAAGTCGATACCATTTCTGTCCTGCTTAGAGGAGGTCTTATAAAACATTTCTAAAAATAGATCATTCTCCATCAGTTGCTGCTTGTTCATGGCATCTGCGTGGCAGATTATTTATACTGACCCAGACCAGTGTCACAGGTCCCACGTGCATTTTCATGAGCCTGCTAATTACTACAGCCCTGTCTGCTGGTGTCAGAGGGGAAAGCTCCAGGAAAACCTGAAGTTCCTCGGAAATTATCAGCAAAACCCTCATGCTGGACCTCCACAGGTCTCTGAAGCTGCCCAGGGATGCCTAGGTGCTGGTTTTCCTGCTCCAGGTGGCCAGACAGCAGGTCTGCCTGGTTTAAGGACCAAGAAAGGGATAACACAGCAGCTCCAACAAAAGGCTGCAGGCAGACAAGCTCACCCTGCATGCAAACCTGGCATGGCCAAAGCAAGTTTCTGGACACCAGCACAAAGCCTGGCCAGCTCTGAGGTCAGGGAAGTTTCCCTGGTAACTCAAGCAGGTGTTGCAGGCTCTTCAGGACAGTGTAGTCCTCTCCAACTCTAGAAGGAGGTGTGGGGACCTGTCCACCATCACCAAGAAGAAACCAGCCAAAGACCTGTCACCTCTACAAGGTCTTCCTGAGGTAGTTTCCAAACCGGCAAAAGCCATACCAGGAGCAGCCAGAGGAAATTAAGCTGAAAGAGGGTGGGTTTAGATTAGATGTTAGGAAGACATTTTTTCCTGTGCAGGTGGTGAGACCCTGGCCCAGGTTGCCCAGAGAAGCTGTGGATGCCCCATCCCTGGAGGGGTTCAAGGCCAGGCTGGATGAGGCTTTGAGCAACCTGGGCTAGTGGGAGGTGTCCCTGCCCATGGCAGGGGGGTGGGACTGGGTGATCTTGAAGGTGCCTTCCCACCCAAACCGTTCTGTGAGTCTGTGATTCTAAATACCAGTCGATGCAGACATGCCAAGGAGAACGAGAGGATTGCTCAGAAGAAGCATTGTCCATCTCATCTCTTACCAGTCTTTCCCCAAACATTTGAAATTAAAATAAAGAAAAACCAAGAAACCCAGCACCAGTAACAAAAAGCCAAGCACAGTTTAGTTCATCTCTACTCCCAAAGCACCACCACACATCAGGCTGTACAGGAGACTTAAAGCAGGGAGGCAGAGCTAGCAGAGGGACACCAAATGCTAGGCAGCAGCTAATTCCTCGTGCCTTTCACAACAGTCAGTCTACCTCCTGCCCCAAAGACTTGGATATCTGCTCCAAAGACATGAAGCCGAAAGGAGGCAGAGCCTCAGATGGTCTTTTTGGCACATGCTGCGTTTCTCGCAAGAACCATCACCAGCAGTACGTGGGGCTTTTGCTTTTAACCTGTGACACAGCCCAGGCAGGCATACGGCCAGGGTCACCCACTGGCACTCACCTCCCCACCAGAATGGTTATAACCACGTCCTTTGGCTTCACATAGACTTCATTAACCCTTTGCCTAGGAGAAAGGGCAAGTGTCTGGACTCATCAGAAATGCTTGAAAAAAGGAACTCTTTAGCAACATGGCACCAATTAAAACAGAAAGCAGACGACAGCAAAGCTGAACCAGAAAGCACGGCACGAGGGCTTTCACCCTCTCCCCCTACTCCCTGAAACGCCCGATGTGAGCAGGCTGCCGTGACTTCCAGATGACACAGGTCTTCATCAGGCTTGAACCGAGGGCGACCTTGATGAATCGGTGGGCTGATCTGAAGTCAAACAAGATGAACTTCAGGGCAGACATGAACAAAAAGAGGTGGGGGGATGGAAATCAAAGGCACAGTGGCCAAATGGGAGTAATTGGCCTGGCAGAATGGGCCCCCTGAGAAGGGACAAGGCTGCCACCGAATGCAAATCCATGCAATGATGACTGCTTTTCTGAAGCAGCTCTGGCACTGGGAAGGACGTGCCAAGTGCATCCAGTGGGAACCGGCACTGCTCAGAGGCAGGGGTCCCAGCTGGACAGCTTGGCACAGGGGTCTCCTCCTGGGGACCGACATCCCCAGCAGGAGAGGGCCCCGGCAGAGCCCCCCAGGGACAGGTTACAAACCTGGCATGGGGCAAAAGCTAAGGGAGCCAAGTTTATCCAGTCTGCAGGGGAGAAGACGTGATAAGGAACCTTTAAGTATAGAAGGACACTGATGGCTTCCTACCCTCCACATGCTCTGCCTTCATCAGGGTCCACCCCTGTCTGCTTGAGCCCACGGCACTGGAGATGAGACACATCCCCATCCAGATGTCCTGACCCCCACCATGCACACACACCAGTCCACACCTCACCCAGCTGTGGGAGTCACCCCAACCCTCAAGCACTGCTCCGTGGTGTTTAAAGCAACTGCTTTGGTAAGCAGGTTATGAAAGCAATCCCTGGTGGCCTTTCAGGCTTTATTTGCACTGTAGCCTGCAGTTCGTGTCCTGCTGGCAAGCAGGGGGAGCACCGTGACTCAGGGGTGCAGCGACTATCCCCCCAGCCAGGCTCTGCACCCCCATTTTCCCTCTTAGCCCAGACACGTGCTGGGTGCCTCAGAGCGGCCATATCAATAAGGAGGGCCACTTGCTGCCTTTTTTTGAATGTCAGAGTAGAAAGCAATGCAGGTTAACGCTCTGCCAGCCCCGCCTTGGACAGAAGGACCTGTTGCATCCCCATATCATCACATCTTGCCATCACTGCATTAAGCTGCCTTCCTTCCCAGCTACCCACCCTACATCTCATAGACAGGCAGGGAGTGAATCCAATTTCCCACATTCGCCCCCCAAAAAGCAGACAACAAAGGAAGACATGCTTAGCAAGGCTCACTCTGTCCAACCTTGCCTTTGAGGAGCTCAACAGCACCCAAACTGCATCCAATGCTGTTCTTGCAGCCATCACCCCTCTTGTGCAAAAGCAGCCAACACAAGACATTTTCCCTCTGCAGCAAGGTGCCTCTTCACATCCCCATCGTGTCTTTTGGGGTCCTGCTCCAAGGAAGGACCTCCTGGGTTATAGCCTTTCTGACCCAGCCACAGTCAGCCAGTACCCACACAGGCTCAGCAAAACCTTCAGCAGCTGGAAACGCTTAGGAAGACGTCCTGGATGTGCCCGGGGAACAGCTAACACCACAAGAGAGGTCAGGTCAGCACCTAGGGCCAAATATCCAGCACCTCCAAAGCAAGAATGAGGGTCCATCACACTCACAGCCACATCGGGTGGTCTGCCAGCTGCCCGAGCCCTTTGCAGAGGCAACACGCTGTTGTGATGCTCCAACACTGCCCCAGGGACGGGAGCTGGAGGAGCAGAAGGGAGCTGCTCTGGCTCCCACCTGAGAAACCAGCTCTGTCAGAGAGATCTCACCATCGCAGCCCCACATGTGAGCTACAGCTTCAGGAGTAGGAGCTGAACCATTCGCAACCCCTGGGCCTGGGAGAGGGTCCCCAGCAGGGTATGGCGTGAGTACATCAGCACAAAAATTCCCTGGGCTTTGGCTGGGGCGAGAGGGCAGCCAGCAGCTCTGCACACCCAGGGTAGCTCGCTGGCCTCCTCTTTGCAGTATTTCCTTGCTCATAAATGCAGCACCACATCAGGTGATGTGTAGTGTGTACAAGGAATCCCTGTTCCTCAAACCCAAGGTCTGCAGAACCCTGGAGCCCTCAGCACAAGTATTTTTACCAGCAGTAACTATCTGAGATACACCAACGACTACTGAAAATCCAGAGGGCAATCACAGCTGTGACCTGCAAGGAGGAGGAAGAGAGCTACACGCACGCAGGGGCAGAAACACATCAAAAAGCCCCTGGTGCCAAGAGCAGAAGCAAAAGAGCAGCAATGTCTGGCCACAATTGCTCTCCCACTGCGGTTGCTGCCCTGTACCGGGGTCTCTGCAGCTGCAGAGGCAAACACGAGGAGATGAGTTTTCCAGGCACATCAGCTCAACCCTCCAACCTGCAAAAATGAACTGGGGTCTCCGGGTATGAGGCATCACCCTCAATCTCCTAGAAATGCTCATTAGAGAAGTATAATAGACCCACCACAGCTGAGCCCAGCGCAGCCAGGGTGGCAAGCACAGCAGGAAACCACCATTGTATGAGATCCCCCTCCCCAAGGAAGAAAGAGGAGAAAAATGAGCTGACAAAACGCCAAAGCAAACAAGGGCCTTAGGAGCAGCCTTGTCTGACCTGCCATTCTCAACCAACAGTGCAGCCCTGTACAATACCTTCTACCTGTCCAGGAGAGACACAGCAGCCCACAGATCCCAGGGATTTTCAATTTAATTATAAACTGCAGTTCCAGTTAGATGAGGGAAAAACGTCTGTTCAGCAAGACACACGCTGTTTTACCTAGTGCTCTCTTGACCATGCGCTGGTGAGAGCAGAACGCAGGAGGGTTTTTGGACACAAAGGAGGGGTGGCATGGCTGCTAATGAGAAGGAGATGGAGGAGCTTTGCAGCTCAGGTCCTTGGGCAGGCACCTCCACCCATGGTGCCATTTCTGTGTCAGACCCCCCTCCGAAAATGATGGAGCCAAGGTCCTCTGCTCCCTGCACTGCTCCTGACCTCCTCCCAGCCCCTCTCAGATCGATCACCTGCCCTGCTCTCCATCTCCACGACTCAGTTTCCAAAACTGAACTAGGTGGTCTCACTTGCCTAAGGATGTTACTTTTGCAAGACACCAAGCACCCATAACCGACGGAAGAGGATTAAATTTAGGTGTGCAGCATCCAAAAATGAAGGTGATTCCTTCCAGAAGGGACATGGATAAAATCTGTGTCATGGCAGCAAAAGGCCTGAGGGGCAGATGTTCCATGAATGTGGCACTTCCCAGCAACCATCACCAACTCCCCACGCTTCTGGAGACACGGCACTTTCCCCCCCAGTTTTCCAGGGCATTTTCAGGCCAGTGCCTCAGATAAAGGTCCCACAACGATGTGTTAACAAAGGTCTTATACCACAAGTCATCATCAACCTACCTTCAGGAGACACAATTCTCCATCCCAAACACAGCTCAGGGTAGGATGTGAGCCATGCAGTGAGAATGGAGCCCGGGAGCTTTTTCACCCCTCGCAACACAGACACTCACCCATCAAGTAGCTCTTCGCCTTCAGGTATCCAACAGCCAGCCGGAGAACGGAGAGTTTATCGAGGCTGGTGCGCACACCTTCGGGGAAGGGCAGCAAGCCAGTCAGCTTGTTCAGCTCCTGGTTGAGTCTATCTCTATGCCGCTTGGAGGAGTTGGACTTCATGCCCTCAGGGGGTGAAGGTTTGGGGCTGGAAGAGGCAAAGGAGAGTTTAATCACACCAAGCCTGTATGACAGGCTCTTTCCAAACACAGTGTTGACTTTAGTGCAGCTGCAAAAACCGTAAAACATCATGTGGCCAAGGTAAAGCCATGAGGTAGCAAGAGCAAGCTCCAGCAAAGCCTACAAGGCTGGAAGAGACATGGCCATCCCATCTGGCCACCTTGTGCCACCCCAGGCATGATGTTCTCCAGCTGGAGGGTGGGGTTATCCTCAGATGGGCACCTCACCATGCACCTGGCTGAGAGATACTCTGGTGTTGCTCCCACCAGGGAGCAGGGAAAGGGACACTGAGGGCAGAGACCTACAAGCCATCAGAGCATCTCTTGGAGGTCTGGTTAGACTCTTCCACCCACACTCTGCTCTGTCCATGCTTTCTCCTCTTCTTCCTCATCCCATACCCTTCCCGGGCAGTAGGTCTCTCCCTGGTCATGCTCCACATGCTCACACTGGGTCCTCACCATGGCAAGCACGACCTCGACTTGCTCAGAGGATTCACATCAGCTGTTCTGCCTGCCCAGGACCAAGCAGCCCTTGGCAATGAGCATGCTAACAAACAGCAAGAATAGAAAGTGGGAAGGCCCAAAAATATTTTTTTGTATTTGAATTTATTTTAGTTATGGTCTTCTAAGTCTCCTCTGACTGCTCAGAGCCTGAATCCATTGGTTTACTTATATTACAAAGAGGAGCACTCGTGAAAGCCAATGACAGCACTTGGGCACAGATACTACACAGGGCGGTTTAGGGAACAGCATTTAGAATATAGCCTCTTTTTTTTAAGATTTTTTAAAAAAATTGTTCTCTTCCAATCTTCTGATTTCTGATCCTTTCAGATGGGTATTTTTCAACCTAAACCAACATCTGATGCCAAACTTGGGCCCTGGGATCAGCTCTCAGTCTGCAGAAGGAGGAGGGTCTTCTCTGTCTTACACCCATCTGGGGACCTGTCTCCATCAGCTGCAGTTATTTCACAAGCTACACCTGAAGTCCCAGCCACAGGAGTAAGAGGTTAGCTAATGACTTTAATGAGCCTTAGATGTCACCTTGTCTCCTTTGATTTTTAATGCAGATTTGAATTTTCTAGTTTGAAGAAAACCCCCGTATTTGGTTCGATTGCATCCCCTAACATGCAACTCATTGTTTTGATGTAATTTGTCTGATCACAAACTCCCTCTCTGCAGGCATTCTTGCTTCCTAAAGGAGCTTTGGATAAGAGGATCTGCCAGTACTTAGCAGCAATTTAAGCTCTCTCCTCTACTACTGCTCTTGAATCTCATCTGGCAGGACTGCTGGCATGTGTGACAAGAGAGGAAATGAGTATTAAATGAAACGCAGTGGGGTGCCTGTTAAATTTTCACTGCAAAGAGCTATGAAGGGGTCTTCTAAGCATAGATGGAAAATTGTAGCATTTCTCCAAAAAAGCTCAATCATGCTGTTTTGCAACATAAGCATCAGGAAGGATATACCAGGCTTCTTGGAGAGGGTGGGTATGATTCATCCCCAGGCTTGTCCATACAAGCTGGGCAAAACACGCTGGCACCGGTCCTTTTATGTACTCCATTAAGCGAGTGGCTTAAACACTTCTGAAATCACAATCACTCATCAGGAAGGAAAAAAAATGAAATAGTTTTCCTTTGACTCTGTGATTTAAAAAAATTTAAAAAAAAAAGAGGTGAAGAAAATTATTCTGAGTTTCCTCTGAGATCCTTTGAAGAAAAGTCCTCTGCCCACTCACTATCCAAATCTAGCCCACAAACAGCCAGAAAGAGAGAAAATGAGACTGGAGATGAGCTAGGAGTGCTGCACTGTATGGGAGAGGGTGAAATGCACCAGTGTAACAGAGTCTCTTGGATAGTCTGGCCAAGCACTGAAAACACTCTGTCTGAGACGCACAGGGTGACACAGCCACCAGCAACGCACCAGAAGGCTAAAGGAGGACACCCCAATGCCTTTGTTCCTGCACGTCCCCAGCTGCAGCACACAGTGTGCTTCACAGCCACCCTTGAGGGGAGGGATGACAAAGAGGAAAATGGCTCTGACAATGCCAGGCAGCTCTTTTGTCAGTGTAGCAAATTCATGGGCAAATGCTGCACCCTGTGCCCAGGAACTTCCCAGGCTGGAGGCTTCATGATTCTCCATCCTCAGGGATGCCCCAGGGAAACAGCTTCCAGGTGCTCATCACTACCAGGCAGTTCTGAAGGTCCCGTGAGCTCCGTGCAGACCAGCAGGCAGGGCCAGGAGAACCGCCAGCCCCCACCACACACACACACTTACCAAAGGAAAGGCATTGGCTTGAGCACAACCACATTATTAGCCACCAGAGAACCTGCACAGGTGAACACTGCAGGAAACGACATTTCCCCCGCTCACTGAAACAGTGAAGCTTGGTCTAGATGTTTAAAATCCGTTTAAATTCCCTGCCCTTAGGACTGTCTCCAGCCACATTGCAGGGCAAAGTCTCTGCCAGCCCTGGGCAGCACACAGGGCTGTCCCAAGGAGTGCTGCTTCCCAAGCACACCCCCAGAGCTCAACAAAGCAGCTCAACACCTTCCCAAAAAGCAAGGAAAAGGCATTTTAAAGGGGGCTGAGCCCCCATCCTGTTTGCAAGAGCCCTAATGCAGCAGTCTTATGAAACGGATACGGTGCAAAGCTCAGCACGGCCGTGCCACAGAGTTCCCGGAGAAGCTGCTGAGCCCCACGTAGCCCGGCTGGAGCGAAGCTACAGGGAAAGCTCTGCTGCCAGCGGGGCAAAGGTTGTGCTGCTGCTGCCGCGTTGTTTTTCCCCAGCTGCCCTTTGAACAGGGAACCACCCATCAGTAAGTTTACTACTTTTGCAAGCTAGCAAGTAGGGAGGGTTCTTATCTGTTAGCAAGAGTTGAGGTTGCATGAAATGATATATTATCTCCTAATTTTTATTGATTTATTTTAATAAGTAAAACCAGAGGGACCAAAGAACTCTCTAACCGCATCCTTCCCTCCCTGCCTGGCTGGTTGCACACCCCGCTGCCCCCAGCACGACCCTGCTGCAAGATCTGCCCAGCCACAGAGGAAAATAATCTCTTCCCATTCCTGAGGCTGGCCCTGGAGCACCAGGGACCGAGGTCCCCAATGCTTCAAAGAGACACCTTCTGCACCCTGAGCCACACAAACCCAGCCCAAACCCTCAGTCCGACCATGGGACTGGAATTACTGCTGCAAGGGGAGCAGGAGAAAGGTTTCAACTACCCTTTGCATCTTCAGACTTCTTTAAGACACCCCAATAAATGCAGAACAGAGGCTCTGGCTCACCTTCTCACATTCATCATAACATTGATGCTCCCTTCTTCATTCCAGGCTTGGGCTCAGCTGAACACCTCACCATGTATTTATAACATTGATGTTCCCTCCTGCATCCCAGGTGTGGGCTCACCTCACCTGTCTCCCAGAAATATATATACACACCTGTATCTTCTATAGAACTTGTAACCTGAGATCGACAGGCTGAAGGAATGCCAGAGCAGGTTGGGGGGACAGAGGCAGGGGGGTCCCAAAGTCAGGATTGCCAGCCATGCATTGGGGGGTGGGGGGCACTAATGCAGCAGCTGTTGAGCCGCATCCTAATTAATAATGAAGGAATAGGGACTTTTTGGTAAAGAGTGATTGTTGTACGTTGGATTTTATAAAGCCATTGAACTGTAAGCCACCCCGCACCTCAAAACAGAGAGCTGAGCACCCCAG